GCATTTTCACTAATCGTTGCAAAACTTATATTTCACCAGAATTTGAAAATTCATTTCAAAAACTTGTTTATGATATGTTTGTGACATGTTTCTAAAATTGTTTTGTTTATGAGAATTATAATTATTTTTTGGTAAATTCTAGCAAAATTTTAGTAACAGAATATATAGTATATTTGCATTTTAACCTTTTATTTGTTTTTATTTAATTTAATATATTTATGGCAAACACTTGACATTTATTTATTAGATAACTTATAAATACTGTTTATTATTTTGTAAACACATATGAGTTACAAAAAAAGTTTACAACATATTCATTAACATTGAATTATACTCTAAAGATTACTATAATTAAAATAAAATTAAACTCAACGGTGAGAACAAATTATGAGAAAGCGATAGTAAAAATGGAAATTAAATAATTTATATCTAATTTGTTTCCATAATAATATGTAATTGATTTCTTAAATCTAATTACGAATTGATATTAAATTATATATTGACTTAGAATTTAATCTCTTAAAGCGATTTATATTTAATCAACTTATTAGAGGTTGTGTTAAATGAGATTTTTATTAAACAAAGTATTTAATGAATAATAAATATAAAATTAATATGATTTTAATCCTCTTTAAAAAGATATCTAATAATTTATAACTAATAAGATATCGATTGAAACAATGTTTTATATTTGACTCAAAATCGATATTCAATGTATAATCTATCGCTTATATTGAGTATAAAATTTTAAAAATTTCTTTGACACGTTAAAATATTTTGATGCCTAAGTCATGAATTGAAAATTAACAGACATTAGAGTTTATATTCAGTGGTAATTCAAAAACATTTTCGCTTAAAAGAGAGATTATTATTCTGAATATTTTACAACATTTTTGTGAAAATTTATAATTTTGAGAAACTTTTTTATTGATTTGAAGCAGTGGTACGTTAAGAATATACGAAGTCGTGTAGAATTTTAAATTTCAAATGTTTTCGACCGGGCTTTCGATTATCATAATTACAATTTTTATGACCATCTGATCGCCGCATACTGTGTACGAAAGGCTCCACTTTTTAAGCCATAGTTTTGTTTAAAGCTCTAAATAAACAATAAAAAGGTTCATAAATATCAGAATAAATTAGAGGCACTCATAGTATTTGGGAAAAGTCTTTAAAAGTAATTCTCGTCTACAAATGTTTAATCAATTCCTGAGAAATAATAATAGTTTTGATTGTCTTAATTTCAATTCAATTCAATTAATCGGTTTATAGTAATGATTATTGCAATGAATGAAAGAATAGCAAACAGAATGTTGTAATGATATCCAAGTGGTGTATATGTGTTGGAGTGACTGAGCTGTTAGAGCGGGTCGGGTGTTGTGAGAAGTGGTGAAGTGAAACATTATCCCTATATATGGTAATGATTTCATCACTACCTTTGCATTTGTCAAAACATCCTTTAGTCGAATTACAAGCGGGTCCTCCTGTCCTCCAAAACCATATTTATAAGAACTGTCGGGCCTTTCCATGGCTTCGAGTTTACAATGTAAGCTCAATAGCAAACATTTGATAGTGTAGTCAAATAGTAGAGTGCTCTCTCTCTCTCTCTCTCTCTCTCTCTCTCTCTCCGATGGAAATAAGATATGAGATCTGAGGAGAAGTAATTCGACACCAAATGCTTTCATTTGGATATTCATTGTAAAGTTGGTGACAAATATTTTTTGTTAAAATTTGTCGTATCATTGATATAATGGATATTAAATGCATTACACGTTAGCTATTAATAGATTAATAGATATTGTTTAATAATTTGATAATTTATCGATAATTTAATAATTGGGCGACACTTGAGTTGACATGCATTGGGAACTAATGTGCGATAATATATTGAAGGCAATGTACACATGGGATGTCTGTTTCTCTAGAAATAGAGGGCTTGTGGTCGGACACAGAGAGAGGCCTGTCGTCACAGTCGACTGCCTCCCTACAGACCCGGCTCAGGCATCTCATCCATCCTGAGACCAACAAGCCTTGCATTGGCTTACAATGAATGGCAAACCATTGCCAACAAATATTAGCCATGTTTTCCTTGTCTTAATGTCTGAAGCACTTCTGGATTGCATGCTTGCAGTCAATATGAGAGCACTGTATGAAGTCTAAGGCCTACTCTCAAAACAAACCCATCATAACAGCTGCTGATGGATATGGTGTATGTACTGGTGATGGGTTGGCTGTGAACACAAATTCTTCAATTAACAAATGTGTCACTTCTTCCACACAATTACATTCAATCTCTCAATGATTTGTGTATTGAATAAGAAATCTCGTATTTAGCCAAAAGCTGAATGAATGCTTAGATTTGAAACATTTTGCTAAATAAGGACCAGTCGTGTAAACAATTTAAATATTTGGCACTTCTATTGTTGGACACATGTATTGACCATTTTTGGGAATTTAGTGACAACACATTCACACGAGTGAACAGTGAAATGCTGTGTATGTACAAGGCATGCTAACAGTGCATATAAGCACACTGGTCATTTTTGGTCAATTGAGAGGCACTGCCACCGCATTCGGTCATTCATGAAACAAACCATTGCCTCACTATTCATACTAAAGACAAATCTTAAACCTATAGCCAAAGCATTGGTAACGCATTTATGTTCAAACGCTTGGCTTTACATCAAGACTAAAGTCAGTGAAAAGGTTTTTAGGGGACGGGAGCACCAAATACGAGGGGATTCCGACGACTTCGAAGAATACTTGTATTCTGTGCTCGCAATAGGTTGACGTGTGTGTGAAAAATGTTTGCCTTACATACTTGTGCAGCACATACACTGTAGTCATACATAGATCATTGTAGATCATGATGCTATACGCCTTGCCTTTGACGGCTCCTTTGCCTCCAATGCCTCCAAACCATACCAACTCTACTACCATACCATACCATACTGTACTTCACTGTACTTTTGCTCATATTCTCCATACAATACCGTTCCACAATATATGGCTATATCTCTACTCATAAGCATATATATACACTCACTTTCTGTAGATTATGAGGAGAGAGAGAGAGAGAGAGAGAGAGAGAGAGAGCTAAAGAAAGTTTAGTGAAGGCTTTCCTGTTATTCAGTGAGCGTTTGTGTCTGTGATAGTAGAGGACAACTGCTGTGCAATGGTTTGGCTGTAAAGTAGTGTCCTTTTGCCGAAACGGGACAATCACTGCAGGGGACGGCGTGTATGCTTACAAATAACACTAAACTACGGCTAAGCCATAGCCGGCTAAAGGATAAAAAGAAATCATTGAATAGACAATACGTGTTCGCACTGTTCGCACATTTATAGCACAACACAACACAACCAATGAATCAATGAATCGCTTCTGTATAGAGAGTGAGAGAAAAGTAGAGATTTTGGGTTTTGCACCAAAATCTCGGTCTTTCACTGATTCTCTCTTTATATGGCTGTCCCGCAGAGCCATACATCTGAAAAGATGAGGTGCGCTCTGTTTAGCCGTTTGGGATGGATGTGCGGTGTTGTCGTACATATGTTTGGCCCTAAGGAGGCAATCAATGAATCACTGAATCACTGCCTTCTATCACCTGTACTGTACTTAATGGCAAATGTAGTTCACATTCATTGACACCATTGACACAAACACAGACCATTGGCATTTGTCTCCCGTATTGTGCAATGAATGCCAACTTATTGTCAATACCACCAGTTTTCGACTTATATGCCAATAGCCATTCAATTCATATCCAATACCTTAAGTGCATTACTTTTACGACTTTAGATCTTTTTTGTCAATGATTTCACTCTTTTTATAAATTACATGTCAAAACTTGTTTTAGTTTTGCCGCAAACAATTAACATTTAATGAATTTAAATAATTAGATTTTGTTGCAAGTTTGCGCCTATGATTAGTTGTGTGTATTGATAGGCAAATGCTTCGTACAGTAAATGATATATTTGTTGAACGAATTTAGAGAGCAATTTGTGACAAGTGTTTGCGAACCGCCCGTTCATTATGGCACTGGACTCCAAACATGAGACACAATATATGCATATCGTCTACACTGTAAGCCATCGTCCACTTCAAAGGGATGAGTTCTTCGGTAGTTTTAGAGTTAACCAGTAATTCATTGCCTCAATGTTGTGGATATGACCTTCATTTTGACAGATGGCTTATATGGCTTACGGGTTAACTTAATTGCATTCACTTCTTCACTTACTGTACAATACTCGCTATACAACCCAACATTAAGTCCTTTATATCATATTTTCATACTTCCAATGATTCAATGATTAATAAGTTTTAATCGTTTATATCTCTAATCAATTGTGCATTTATTGACTTTTCATTTGATTCACGCATTTCTTGCCATTTAATTATATAATAAATTTCTGAGAAATTGAAACATTAAAGTGAATGGTAGGGTAGAGTAGAGTGAATGCGAGTCATAAGTACCGTATTATACATTGAATAGTGATTTTGAGAAATGTTTGCCGATTATCAGTGACTGACTGACGACTTGACAATAAATTCTCATTTAACTTATGATTGAATACATTGAATGGCTTTAAGTGTAATGTTTGTAGTGTTTGGTTAACTCATGAGTAGGGCATGACTTTGGCCTAAAGGCACAGAAACAATAGGCTTAGAGAAAGCTTAGTTAAGGAACTGGCGATTCTGTTGACCGATAAATCTGATAATCCCCTCATCGGCGATCATTTGAGCAAATAATACAAACATTGGCTTTGAATGCCTGTGCGCTGACACCCGACGGTGCGATAACTGTGTCGATGTAGTGTATCAGGCGCTGGGATCTTAGATGTGAAGTAGGATCGACTCAACACTAGTACTCATCGATACAAGTCTGCTATCCATGACATGGCTTTTCTTTTGACAACAAAGCCATGTCATGCATAGCCGAGTGAGGCCCTCGTCTTTTTGCATCCATTGATCTCTTTCTGGCGATCAAAGCTTGGAGGAGGGGATGGGTGTTGTCGTTGCGGCTGTCCATAGAAAGAGGATGGACTGGGATGTACTCTCCATTCGCTTCTGTTATGTAATTTTCAGGTGGAAACGCACCACACATTACACTCTATTAATAGTGAATAAATATATTAAAATTCACTTTTCATTACCAAAACTTACTATTTTTCTGTGTATTTCTTGCAATCTCTCTCTCTCTCTCTCTCTCTCTCCCTACAAATCCTTAATACAATGTATTTGTCTTTTCACTACACGAGCAGACCTCACAAGAAGTAATTTTCAAATTTTTCATACAAATAGTTAAGCATTTTTATACAATATTTTAGAAACGTGTGATCCCTAAGGCTTTTAATCATTACAACTATTAATAGTAAAAATTAAGTAAATCTAAGCATTCATCTTAACTATAAGTAAATACCTATTATTATAAATTAAAAACACTTATTTCCATTTGATCTCTCAATTAATTTTCAATCAATTAGAGGTTGTATGCAATTCCTGTATTGAATCTCTTTGTTGTAATTTTTAAATAATATACTATTTTGATTACTATTATATTATATTATTTAAATAACATTAGTTATAAAATGGTATTAATTTTACTTTTATCGGCAATCTGTTAGCATAATTCAAGAACTTTATCAATAGTTCAATACCATAAATGAGTGAAACACTAAATTCTTAGCTATAATATGTTTGGCAGTCTACACGTTTGGATTCATGATGTGCATCCCATTATTTATATTCTCAATGTCTTATTTTAAGGTTAATATAAAATAAATGACTTGTGATTTCAATTCATTGAGTCATTTGACTATTTGTCTGCATTTAACTAATGATTCAAAACAGTGGAAAAACTGAGAGCAAAGAAAAAGTCAATTCAAAGACGAGAAGTGTTTTTATGTGAAATGCTTTCATCAAAATTGTCGTTCAATAGCATAGAAACGAGCGTTTTATCAGATTTTGAAATCAAGTAAAATAGTTTGTAATTATTAACTGAGAGTAAAATGAATGCAAATTTATTATCCATTGAAGACATCAATTAAGATATTTATCTGATTTTGGATTTCTAATAGAAAATTGTGTTGTTTTCTGGCAATACATTCATTCATTACGTTATTCTCTATGACATCAATCATTAGGTCTAAAGTTATTTACTTAACATTCAGTACTATATTAAGTGAAGTTAACGACGAATTTATGTTAAAATGACTATAAAATCACTTTTAAATGAGTGAAAGTGATTAGTGTTATGTTTTCTCTGGAAATTTTCGAAATGAATTGAAAAAACAAAAAATTTGTTTAAAAAGTGTAGAATTTTGTTGAAAAAGTGTAGAATTTTGTCGCTATTTCTTTGTTTAGTAGCGGGAACTCCACCCGAAAACTTGATCTCATTTGGGGTGTGGTATATCTGAGGTACTGATGGCTAAATGCATATAAAAGCACAGACACCACAGACTGAGTGCAACAAACAGTTGTTTGAGATCTCCTCCCAAACTAAACCTAAATGACTACTACTATATGATGCATGGATTGGACCCTTTGCGTGATAGCTATACTGATTAAAGTGTTCATTAGATCAATATATACCGTATANTGCAACAAACAGTTGTTTGAGATCTCCTCCCAAACTAAACCTAAATGACTACTACTATATGATGCATGGATTGGACCCTTTGCGTGATAGCTATACTGATTAAAGTGTTCATTAGATCAATATATACCGTATACTCTGTTATATACCAGTCCTTTAGTGACGGACTGTGGGCACAGACTTCGGTGAACACACTCTTGTGTTGTTGAGATCACGACTCAAACCATTTCAATACATTACTGTATTTGGTGTACAATTCTGGTGTGCATTTCACTACATTTGCAAACATTAGCTTTTGTGTGGTGTGACTGCAGTCCAAGCACTTGGATGTAAAGCACATCCAGCGTACAGTACAGCTCTGACACGCATACCATTTACACAATGATAGCACTGATAGCATGAAATTAGATTTAATGATAACTGAATTGCGAGCAAATGCTTATTAATTGCTTTGTTTGGCGCACATCAGGAACACCCGCGACTTGGAGGCAACCCCTTAGCTATGCTGACGGCCCAGTGTAACAAATTGGCCTCAAAGACACCCCCGCCCTTAGCCGACGCTGCCGTCGGGAAAGGCTTTCACCCCTGGAAGAAGGGGACGATCGGTGGCG